TCGTCCCCGACGCCGCAGCCTCCTTGGCCCGACCCGGGGCGCCGCCGCCGCCGCCGCCAGCGGAGCGCTCACCATCCTGTCACCGGGCTTCGTTCCCTCCCCGCCAACGCCGCCGCCCTCTTCCTCGGGCTGCGCAGTGGACCCGCCCACTTCTCCCGCCACCAATAAGACGCGGAGTTCGCGAGAAGGGCTGTGCTACGGGGGCCCGTGAGGGCCGCTCCCCGTCAGGAAGCGAACCCGCGCCGGGAGGAAGTCAGCGCGGGTGGGGCGAGGCGGAGGCTGCGGGCGCCGCGGAAGGGGCGGGTCACATCCGGGTACCGGCGGCGGGCGCGCTGCCGGCCGCCATGCCTGCGCTCCCGGTCGCCATGCTGAAGTGCGAGATGACGGGCGGTCAGGTGAAAGGTGGGGCGGCCGTTCTTGCTTGGCTGCGCAGGAGAGGGAGAGCCTGACGTCCGGGGAGCGTCCCCCATCGTCTTCTCACGCCTTCCTCCGCCATGCTTCCCCCAGGACGGAGTCCGCAGAGCCCGGCCGGCCGCTGCGCCCCTCCCGAGCGCCCTGCTGGGCTTCGAACAGCGTGACCGCCTGGAAATGTGGGGGCCGTGGAAATGCACCGCGGCATTGTCGGCCTCAAGCTAGGGTTGACGGGGGCCAGTGTGGGGAGAAGTTGAGAGGCAACTGACACTTGACCAGCAAAAGTATTTTTGAGCCCAGGGCAGACGACCCGCTCTTTCTTGCGAGATCCTGCCGGAGAAATTTAGTTGTTGTTGCTTTGAATATGTGATCAACATCCAGCTACCATGTCACTTTGGATCTCAGTTTCCTCGGTTGGAAAATGAGACTAAGATTAACACCTTCCCGGGCGGCGGCGGTGGCGCACGCCTTTAATCCCAGCACTCGGGAGGCAGAGGCAGGCGGATCTCTGTGAGTTCGAGGCCAGCCTGGGCTACAAAGTGAGATCCAGGACATCCAGGGCTACACAGAGAAACCCTATCTCAAAAAACCAAAAGAAAGAAAGAATGAGAGAGAGAGAGAAAGAAAGAAAGAAATACATGAATTGAACTCAGTAATTAGAAGGACGATGTGGGGAAGTATATTGTACATAGTCTTATAAAAGGGAATGACTGGGCTCGAGACGGTTCGTGGGTAGACAGACAGCTTGCCTGGCATGTATAAGACCCTGGGTTCCATCCCCCTGCAGAGGGTGGGAGAACCCAAAAGGAAAATAAATGAAAGCATTAGCATGGAAATTGGCTTGCAGGGGAGATAAATTTTGTTGAATTTTATATCACTGCAGATTTATTGAATTCTTACTGTGTACATAAAGGGTATTATAAGGTATTACCTAAGGTAAATTAATCTATAAAATACCGTATACATCAGCTAATTTAACTCTCAGGTATATCCTAAGCATTGTTCCACCCTAAACCTAAAAGTCAGATGCCACCACTTAATGGGAAATTGTTAAGACATAGTCAGAAAAAGGGGATTTCAAACCATTTAATGGCATCACATACATTTGGCCACTTTATGCTGAATTCCTCTCATGGTGATGAACCTTGCTAGGGACTTGACATGGCATCAAAGTTGAGATCATTATCAGGTCTAACCTGAACATACTGGAGGCCAGCATGCTGAATGTTGTTACGGTCTATATAGCCCACAAGTCAAAGGGAGTGATAACCAGTTACTTTCCAGCTTTTTGCCCAAGATCAAACTCAAACTGAATGGTAGAGCCACGCTGAAGCAGGTGGTATAGAATAGGCCTTAAAATTTGGCTAGGATGGCTACCCACAATTTACAGATAACTAGTAATTTGGTTGGTGAAAGGCCCCTATTTCCACCTCTAGGAGTCTTACCCACAGGGTGGTAACAAAGAGCTCAACTATAGAACCAATTGAAGAGTTTGACCGACATGATTAAGTTGTTCAGTTGATCCCACTGTCCTTTCCAGTATTTCGTTTGAGTCCTGTGTGTGCGGAAGTAGTCCTGCAATTTATCCTTACTGCTAGAAAGAATATAAACAACACCTTTCTTTTCCTCCATAGTATTTGGGAAAGCAATACAGACCTTATCACGAGTGAGTGATGACCTGTGGCTAGACCCATCTGAGAAAGGTGTAAGTAAGTCCAGTTAAAAAGTGAGGTGTCAGCCGGGCGGTGGTGGCGCACGCCTTTAATCCCAGCACTCGGGAGGCAGAGGCAGGCGGATCTCTGTGAGTTCGAGG